CGTAAAATAACAAACTAGCTAGCTTTGTTGGAGAGTAAAACCTCACATTTATGGCACTACTTCTACTTAATTGAAAGTGTCATGTTCTCGAATAATACTTGTGGGTTTTTAAACAAATAAAAGTAAAAATACAATTATCTGATGGTTGACTACACGCTAAAATAGGTGTGTAATAGTTTCTTATTCAGAACGTCTTCTAAGTGCTGAAAGAGTTTCCGACAAATATACAATCCAGAAATTGTAATTATCCCGCTGAAACCATTCACATACATATTTTGACTGAAAACTGCTATAACAAAAGTAGTTCTGAGAAAATAGGGGTATTTTGTAGAGTTTAACATCGAAAGCTTTGTTGACTTACGACAACTATGTGTCGTTTAGAAAGGTGATAAACGATAAATTATAGAAGCACAGAAAAGTAAATTTTATGAGGTCTTTATTGACATTTATTACTTTTTATCAAAAATTAATCACAGGTCATCAGTGGCATATTTATAGAAATGAAATTTGGAGTGAGCGAAATAAGCAAAAAAAAAAATGTTAATAAAAAATGCAGTTTTTTTGGATGTTACACTCGAATTTTTCGCCACTACTAAATACTGTTTTACGTTTTTTATTGCTTTTGTTAATACAGTTTTGTTGTTCATTTGTGCGCCATACGTTTGGAAAGCAAAAGGAAGGAATGGGGATAAAAAACAATTAGTGTTTTTTCCGCCTCCACATAGCTGATGTAAAATATCGATAACAACAGCAATTTTAAAAGTGAAGTACAGTAAAGTTTATGCTTACTTTTTGATGATATTAAACAAAGGAGGTAACTGTTACCAGATAACTTTGGCTTTTTTTCTTTTATAACAGTCATACTGATATGCTTAACAAATCAATGTTTCACTTCAGCAAAATTTTAAACACTCATCCAAAATTTTAGTGATAACCATGAAACTAATTTGTAGTTCAGGAATCTTTTTAGAAGAAAAACGATTCGATATTTTTTTTTTGGTTTTTCAGCAAACTTATACAGTATGCTTTCAAAAATATCTCGTAGAATTTATATCACTTTTATTAGATAAATTTTGATCACTGCATTTGAAAGTTTTTATAACGGCTAGATTTCACTTCATTCATAGGCAACTTGAGAACAGGGTAAAATACTGGCACTGGTTTGTTCAGCTTCCCTTTATGGCAGTATTCATAACAGATGAAAAATAAAACTGCTTATTGGCAGTGTTACAATTCGATTAGAATAGTCTACACCCTTTTAATAGTCATTTGTAAACTGCTGTTTTGATACATCAATCTTTTAAATAAAAGCTGTGAAAGTACAGCGTATACACGCCTTACATTTATCAAAATTAAACGTCGTAATATACGGGCCAGTATTAGTCAGCACCAGTTTTCTTCCTTTCCTTTATCAACAGATAACAACAGTCCAGTGAACCACACTGGTTTTGAAGTTAATTTTTTTTTGGTTCTACATCTGTCACTATAATATGGAAAGTTTAGGTATAATTTGTTGTAGTGAGATAAAGCATCGGCTGGGAAGACCAATACTGGTCACTTGGTCACTTCCAAAGTAAAAGTTGCGTAATTTATATTCTATGCGTGTGAGCATAATTGCTGGTAAAAATTAGTTCAATTTTGGCAGAATCTGCTACAGTATTATTTTTTAAGCCAGTTGTTCAAATAGTACGTGAGTTTAGTTTGACGAACAAACAAATGCAACTGAGCGCTGTTTGATCGGCAGTTCTGTTTCATCAGTGTCACGTTATTATTGGCACAGTTTGAGAACACGTCCTTGTTCCATTCCAAGCCTAGTACCTATAGCGCTTGTAATCTTTATTCCTTAGCATAGAATACATTTCTTTTTCTAGTTCTCTTTTTCCTCTTTACTTTTCTGCTTAAACTCGGTAAAAGTTTTATTAAAATATCTTATTGTGCTATTACCGCTATATATCACTGTTCAGAAAAAACTTCATTACCATTCAGCAGGTTCCTAACAAAATTCTCTAATACTTCTGCTTCTAACATATTAAATTTTACATATCTTCAATTTTCATTTCTTAATATCTTTTAAATGTATAAATCTGGAGCAACTTGATGCCGTGATCAAAGAAAAATATACACTGTTTGTAAATTTCGGTTTCGATTAAGTTTAGGGAACGGAAATACACCGTCTTTTTGTTTCGTATACATATATTTAAACATTCACAATCTTATATAGTCTACAGAGATTTTGACAATTTTTTTTCTTTTACAGTTTTCACTCTTTTCTTTTCAAACAAAATACAGGTTAACCTTCATCTGTGCAAAAGCTAACAACTAAATATGGAGAACGTCTAAAAGTTAGAACATAAGAAGGTAAATTTGAAAAAAATTTTGTTCGGAAAAAATGAGTTTTCATTAGGAATTGCAGTGTAACAGGATTTTGAATGGGTGTCTCAACAAATTCCGACTTTACTGGATGGTAGCTGAAAAGTTAGTGTTGGGAAACCTTTCAGTTCTTTTGCTGTCGTTCAGCAGCTTTTACAGTATAAAATTAGATGTGTTTTTATTTTTATTTATTTTTCTGCTATTTTTTTAGTTTTTCTAACAGATATATCGAAATTAGCAAATGGCTGTTCACAATTAGTATTTGTTAAGCTGGCTTTAAAATATCGTACAATTCCTCAATGCTACGTCAGTTTTGCCTCAGTGGTCACCTGATTTTACAAAAATATTTTTGAACTTTTAAGTTTAAAAAAATTGTGGAATTTGCACAAGGTATGCTAATTTAAAGAAACTTTACTTATTTTATTCATTCTCTTCCTCGTATGCTCAGTCACTGTTTTTCTTGCATCTGCTGCTTTTTTTTAAAACACCAAATGGCAAAATCAGTTCTTACACCTAAGAGCAATACCTTGTTGGCTGAATTGAAAGAATTCTGAATTTTATGCAAGATAAAGACAAGCTACCAAAACCTTCGGGTACAGCCTTGATAAAATGGAATTCAGTGTTTTTTTTTTTTTTTTTT